TTGAGCAGTCAGCAGGGCCAATGGCATGGACCAGCCACTCTTAAGCTAAGGGGGGAAGTGACATCAGAACTTTCTATTAATCTGCCTCTCCAGCACTCCAGCAAAGCAACAGCTGACATATGAACATATCAGACAATTTGGCCTCCTGCTTTTGAAGGGAAGTTAATCTATACCTCATGACCTCTACTTCTTCCAGAAAACAGCACCAACAGGTATATCCATCATCACTTGGCTTATCACAACCCAAGGGGGACTGACTAGACCTCTCTGGCATGAGCCAGCCACAGCCCCCTTCATTTGCCACTACAGTGCTTGCTGCTTGCCAGCTGGGCTGCAGATTACGTCTCAGCAAAATGAGAAGCCATCCTGGTTCCTACTCTTCCTTCTGGTACATGTTTTATGTCAGAAGACCTTTCCTTTTCTCACTTCACTATCCCAAGGACAGATTTATGAATCTCTACCTCAAATTCCTTTTGAGTCTTCAGACTACTTCGTAGAAGGGGTCCGACTCTTCTGTTTACAGGTTTACAGTGTTTAAATGAAAATTTCAGCAGAAATTTTCTCCCTGTCTTGGCTACATTGTTTCCTTCTGGAACCTGCCCTCAATTACCTAAAAAGACTCCCAGCTTTATTGCATTTGCCAGGAATTTTCAGGTAAGGCAGCATGATAAAGATTAGGGAGTCCAAGCTCACTTCTCCAAAACCTAGCAAGAGGAACTTACCTAAATTGATATGGGGGGGGGGGGGGGGGGGGGGAAGAGAAGAGAAAATTGAAGGCAGGGGAATTGGAACATTGGAAAAATTGTTCTGAAAGGTTTCACATTTTAAAAAGCTAGTTTTTTTTGGTGCAGCGGGCATGCCAAACAATGCAACTCTATTTCAAGGCATAGCACTGATCAGCTGCAGCTTCTATAAAACACAGTGCTGCCAAAAGTAATTCTCTAATTACTGTTTCAATTTCCAAAAACTTTCTCCCTCTGAGATAGTAGGAGCCAGTTTGTGACACTAGAACAAAGGGTGTTGGTAAAACTTTTTTACATAGAATGGGCTAAGATACTGATGCTCTCAGTAAAGTTCTTTGAATACTTCTCTGATGAGGTACACCATCATTGTATGTAATGAGGCATATCCATTTGGCAGGTTTTCCTCTGGAAATTCAAATGTCTCCATTATCATGCCATTATAACATTGACTCCATTATGTCCATTATGCCCATTTCTGGGTCTTGTGGATATAATGCTCATTTACTAACCATCAGAATGAGTATTTTCTATTTTTACGGTTAGGGAAACCAACAAGGGAAAACAACCATGTTTCTAGCTTACTTGACAATGCAAGACCAATTGCAATATTCAGTATGTTTGGTAACATTTACAAAAAAAAAAAAAAAAGTCACCCTTATTTTCTAAACCTCCTAAAGCAATATTTTCTATCTGGTAATTAAATATTCCTCATTTTTCTCACTGTAGATGTGGTAAAGTCCAGTTTCATTAAGAAATAACTGATGACTGCAGACTGCCTATAAAGTTGTTATCATTCCCTATGAAATGATATTTTTCTTATGCTTTTGATGTAGTATATCACCAGGAACAAGACACCTCTTACCAAGCTATGCAAACCATTCAATAAAATCTAGTTTGTGCCAGAAGGCAGACTCCTAACAGTTTTGAAATACAGGCTCTGCTGAAGATCGTATTACCTGTTGGGCAGTTGATTAAAGCCACAAGGGATGTCTTCTAGAAAGGGAAGTGTCTATATGCAAATAACACAAATGTTTGCACAAGAAACTACAGAATAATTATTTCATCATTTATATAGTATAATACATATTTGTTTGAATGTACCTATTAATATATATATTAAGAGTAATACAGATTTACATTTAGCTAATACAAGCTCTGGCTCAACACCAATCAATGCTACTGACAGCAGAATAAGGCACAGTAAGAGTCCAAACTGGCAACGGTAGGAGGTAGTTTCTGTAAATGCTTCCTCCACCAGGTAGATCAATAGTGAAGTTGAAATCCCACTGCTTGGAGGTGAACCTAGAAGTCACCATAACACAAATTACCTCTCTCCACCCATAGCACTGCTCAAGCCTTCTACAGAGTCCCTTTGAACAGAGACGGGGTAAGGGAGGGTATGCTAAGTCTGATAAGAAGTGGAATTTTAAAAAAAAAGTGTCTGGCCACTCCTTTTCTGGATGGTGCTGACCCAATAAAACTAGACCTGACATTTGAGGTATTTTGTTCCATCGATAACTTTCAAGAGTGGATTTTCCAAGAAAAGGCTTCATAACTTAATTTACTTAAGCAGAATCTGCCTCCCAGAAAGGACTAATGTGTATTATTTAGTCTACTTTGGCAAGTCATTAAGTATTTTCTAACAATGTATTCCATTCCTAACAAGTGACTAAAGGCTCTCAGTATGCCAGAGGAATGTACACACAAAAAGACATGGTTCTTCCTCTGCTAGAATTTAACAGTTCTAAAAACTGAACTGTAAGACAGCCTGAAAGAAGCAAAACAGTTTCCAGTGCTAGATTACTCTATCATCAGCTTCCAGTCAGATATCTACACCAACTAATTTTGCAGTTTTAGCACTAAATATCTTCTCCAGACATCAGTAAAACAAGATGAAACAAAAATGCAAACCGTAGAAGTAATTTCCAGAGATAAACTCCTTGCTAGCTCTCTCCTGCCTGCTGCTAAGTCAGCCTTCTATCTAGAGGAAAGACCTTTGTGATTTTTTTCCTGCTTTAGTATTATGCTGGAAACAATGACCTTTTTGTTCTATGGCAAGACTACAGGAGCCGAAGCTCCGTGCACAATTGTGTGATCATCGCGCGGCCCAGTGTCCCAACCTTTGCGAAACACGGCAGGCACAAAGCTATCCAGCTGACTAATGAGAGGATCCAAGGGAAACAATGAAAAAAATTGTCATTTCCAACAATGCAGAAGGCCACTTCAATATTCCCACAACCTCTTGCCAATTTATCTTTCCTTGTGCTATTTCTAACATCAAATAACTACTGTCAGCTTTGACCGCTTACATGATTAATTATTCTGATAAATATCCTTAAGAGAAATGAGAACAGTGACCTAGACCTGGAACATTTATTTGCCATAATAATCATAACTTTATGCCTCTGAACATAATGGAAGGTCTGAGACACTGAGCAGTTTGTTCCAGAGGCTCCAAAACCCAGATGCTGCCCTGCTTGGCATCTCTGAGGTAGGTCCAACATATGAAAGCCCCACTCCAGGTCATGTAGTCCCCATGGAGGACACCTGTGTAACAAAATTAATGTACAAGCCAGGGCAGAAGTATTATTCCAGAAGTGGAGACACTTTTCTGGAAGTCTTTTTGCCTGGTTACATTACAACTAGAGCCTTCTGGGTGCACAGCAGTAGAGGCTGTGCAGATTTTCCACTGGTTTACAGCTGTGCCTCTTGTCTGCAGCATCAAAGAATTTCAGTTTGCTGTCTCACCCCACCACACTACCAGACACAATGGATACAATGGTTATGGGCTGTGCTTGTGTTTTGTGTTTTCAGTGGGTCAGAGACACACAGGCAAGTAAGAAATTTTCTTTTTGTTAATTCATAAAAGTAGGTTGTTCCACTTGGAAAACAGTAAAGGGAAAACCAGATGATGTCCACCCTTAGACAACTTTTCACTGTCTCCGCAATTCTGTAATTAATAGAGCAAATGTAGGAGCAGGGCTGCAAAGAGCTCCTAGGAGCCCTACTCCTTCACTTTGCAAGAGTAACCTCCTCACCGGGCTTAGTGGTAAAACTTCATCACAATTACAAGCCTTATCAGAAAAGTGCATCTATTACTTTGAGATAATTCCATTATTTAGCCATGGTCTGTTTTGCACATGGCTACCAATTATGCTAAACCCTGTATATTCCATCATTCAGCCAAGCCATACAGACTAAATGGCCAATGAGAAACCCAAATATACCATGAAAAGAAGTGGCTTGGTCCAACTCACACTGCTTAAATTTGATGGCTAAGGTCCTTAGGATCCAAAGTAGTCTCTAAATCAAGTGCTGGGTGTCTTGGTTTGAAAAGACAGGAGTCTGTGAAGGAAGGCAAAAGCCTCCTGTGAAATGGAAAAGGTAAGCCCCCTCCCTCCGAATTACCACAGTTTTAAAAAAGGCTCTCAGGCAAAGATATGGGATGAGAATAACAGTTCTTTACTAGGAGAAAAACGAAATAATAATAATAATAATAATAATAATAATAATAATAATAATAATAATAATAATGATAATAAATGTAATTAGTACAAACGACACTAGTGATGGAGTCAGAAACCTGACACCCTGAGGAGTCAGGGTGTTGGTAGTAGTCCAGTTAAAATGGTGGCTGCTCCTCCTGGAGTAGCAGATGAAATGCTGCTGAAGTGGTGATCTCTAGAAGGGTGTAGTTTTCTCTGAAGGTGTGGTAGTAGTTGGGCCTGGTCTTCCTCTGGGAATTCAGCAGAGAAGAGAGCTGCTTCTCTGGGAATCCAGCAAAGTGGCTGGCCAGTGTCTCAAAAAGTGCTGATTTTATGCAGGTAAGAATGCTTGGCTCCTCCCTCTGGGTGGAGCATCTCACAATGGAATGATGTAACTTTATCAGTCATGCAGTGAGTCATTCAATAGTCTATTAACAGAAGATATCTCCCCGGAGGGAGACATTGTTCTTGGAAGCGATAAGAAAACTGCCCAACCTCCAACAGATGGCAATAGAATACATGCTTATCGTACAAGCCAGGACATGGGGAAAAGAAGATTCATCCTCAACTGAGTACAGCTCTCCCCCAACCTCAGTAGTCTCACTGTCCTTTGAACTCCACACTGTATTCATAATTTCTGGCGGGCTGAGGGTGGTCAGTGCGGGTGGTCAGTGTGCCTCTCCTATTATTCTTAGGACAAAAGAGAAAAAAAAAAAAAAAGAAGGAAGCAGCTAGTATTCTAAGTATTTCCTTCACAACTAATTTCTTTCCATTGCAGTATTCCTGCCCTGCAAGACATTGGCAGAATTTTTTGAGGTAAAAAAACCTCATTCCTTATTCAGACGGAGTAACTAAAAATAGACTTTGACCCGCTTCACAAAACTAACAAACAACAAACAGAAAAAATCACCCAAATATGGTTAAAGAAAAATGGTAATACAATATATTACATGTTCTTCTAGAATACTGCACAATATATTTTAATGAGTTAGAATAATACATATTATTATATCTAAACATATAGTGATATTTCAGGATTATAATGAAATTGTAAAATACTTTGGTTTTAAAATTTAACATCCAGTTATCCTCCAGAGCTTCAGGTTGCTCACAGCACCTTCCAACCTGACCTTTAATGTTTCTAGGGATGGCAAATCCACTACCTCTTTGGGAAACCTATGACAGTGTTTCACCACCATGACAGTAAAAATCTTCTTCCTTCTATCTAGTCTTAATCTACCATCACCCCTTGCCCTACCAAAACCCAAAAGTTGTAAGGTTAGAGAAGGAACAGATGAAAAAAAAGTGGAGTATGTGAAACATGATCTTTCACTTCAGGGTCTTCTCCCCGTCTAACTACCCCTGAGTTAATGACAGCAGTCATTTTATAAGGCTGTGACTGCTAGAGATGTGCTGCTAAGTATTTGTAGTGCTTTTGATATTAGCCTGTGGTGATAGCAGGGGATACACCAAACAGCATAAAGCAGTTCTGACAATTCATGACATACTTTTAATTGTCCTATCCAATTGCAGGTGTTTCTCTCAGGCTTATCAGCCTAAAAGCTAATGGTTTGGCTGTTCTGCATTGGATCCCTGAGCACACCAGCTGTAGCACTTAACCACTGTAGTCTAATAGACAAAGCAATAGAAGCGAGTTGGCAGGCAAAAACAAAAATGTGATTTTATGGGCTAGCATATACCCACAAAAACAGTGGTGGAACACAAGCCCAATCAATATAGGACCATAGGGACCCCCTGTTTGTGTAACGTGAAGCCAGAACACATTAAACTTTTAAGTTCTTTCCAGTGTTAGAGGTTTGCAGCATGCTTTGCACAGACTTTGGAACAGTATCTCAATTACTTTGCCAGCAAAAACATTACAGATGGAGCTGTCAGATCTTCTTGTTTAGCGGCGCCTGCTTTTCTAACACGCGACTTTTTTTAAATAACAACTGTCACTCATCAGATAAGCTCAATGTGTTTTCCAGCACCTGCAAAAATGCTTTGAGAACAAAGAATAGATTTCAACAACTGGCAAACTACAAATGGCCCTTCAAAAAGCCATTCTAGGCTGTTTTAAACTTCATGTTTTTCACTACTATAATTCTGGTCTATTGTATATTTGTATGATCTGCCACTGCAAGGATCTGTTGTAGATTTGCTGATTACTTGCACCTATTTTGCTATTTCTTCATTTTTTCACAGTTAAGCAAATAGTGGGCATGCAGGTAAGATAATCCTAGAGATAAATTTGGTGTGTATATGGTGTAAAAATGGCTAACAGCAAGCTTAAGACTCCTGTTCTATAAGTCTCATTCATAATTTATTTCCTCATACCAATCAGGATTCAGAAAAGGCTTAAGGATACTTTCAGTTATGTCGGTGGGAATAAAGAAAGCCAGCACAAAGTGTATTTGAAAGGCAGCCTTGGAAGCAGGACAATGTGAATTTTCACTGGGATCAAATCCCAAAGCCAAATGCTGAAAAAGAGTTCAAACTCAGAGTCTGGCTCCTGCTACTTTTCTCACTTGTCCTTAGGAGTGATGACTAAAAATCATTATTATAGAGTATTGCATAAAGCAATACTTTGTTTAAGTACAATGTCATTTAAAAAAAAAAAAAAAAAAACAAAAACCAAACAAGCAACAAAAAAAAAAATCAAATACGCAAATAAACTAATTTCATAAAAAAAGAACACTTTATTATTTCATAATAAAGAAACCATAAAAGAATGCTGCAGCCACACATGCAGAGAAGGAGTTAATAAATACAGCACAACCAAGTTTTTGAGGGTCTCCCAAAATTGCCTGGGACATTGCAGAAAATCACTGCTACCAAATAAAATCAGCTAACAATTAATTTTAGACTATAAACTTTCCATTACAAAAACATCAGTAACAAATGCTAGAAAAAAATCCCTCTCAAGAAAACTTAGCAAAGCTGTAGTTAATCAGAATACCAGGAAGGAAAAAAGCAAACTTGGAAGACTGACACTGGCACAACCCTTGCTGATAAAAAGCAAGAAGCAGGAAGCAGACAGCTCATGTGATATGGCTTAAGCTATACATATGCAAAGACTTAAAGATCTACGAGCAGAAAAGTTAGTATGAAGAAGATACATCACACAAGCAAAATACTACCATTTATAGAAGGGCTTGGTCATAACAGGAGATTTGGGGGTTTTGTGATTTATTTGGTTGCTTCTATGGAAGGCATGTTTTTGCTAATTTTGCTACAAGAAACTATTTCACAGCTCCTGCTTCACTACAGGTGCAGAATCAAATGGGAAACTATTTTTCTTGTAAACCTAGAAGTATTTAAAGAAGACCATTAAAAAAGGTAAGTATTACAAGGTAATTCCTTTAAAAAGCTTTTCTAATGCCAAGCTACATTGACTGCCCATACTAAATTTAGAGAGGAATATTAAAAAGATGATGTTACTTGCTCAGGCATTTCAATCTCTCCATGTTCAGTCTAGACTTTGATGCATCAGGAAAAATACTAACATTTGCTAAAACCCACAACAGCCATCACTATTGCCATTATTAGAAGCAACTAAAACAAATTCAATCCGATCCACTTCTATCGAAAGGGATAGTGTTTAGCAACATAGACCTGAAATCTACTCAACAAATGTAGTTTTCATACATCTATTCTAACTCTAGTATTGAAAGAAAACTGTATCAACATGTTTCTGTAACAGATAATGATTTAATAGGAAGCAACTGCTGACAGGGCTCGTTAGATGCTTACATCTAATTAACTACACACACTAGTCAACACTTTGCTCAAGCACCCAGTATTACTCTGAACTGCTGGCTAGTAAGGTCCTATATGCATATATATCCGCATTTATATAAACATGTGGTGCTAAATATGATACTGTCAGTCTCCTTTAAGAGAAGAGTTTAAGTTTGTCAGTTCACTGCATGTTTCTTGCAGATGTCTTTGCATAAGTGGTTTCTACCATATTGTTGGGGAGGACCTTATTTCCTAAAGGTGGTTGCTTTTTAAGACTTTTGATTCTATCAAGAGAAACTCCGTTCTGTGGAAAATACACATGACAACCTAAACAGAAAAGAGACTGATCTCCCATCTAGTCTACAGAAAAAAGGCAGCAACAGCTAAATCACACCTCACCTGTTACCCTTAATGATGGTTTTCTATTCTAATCTTTAACCAGCAACACAAAATACTTGCTTTCTTGCAATACTGCATTGCATGAACTCTTAGAGCATCCTTGCTTTCCCTGAGGTTAAATGTAACATGTACCTGGTTGGCAAATGATAGTCAGAGGAGATTCCTGTAAGATTTCCATTTCAACTAACTGAATTTAAAATGTTAAACTATGCTGCCTTTACTTTTTGTAATGAAAGTTGAAAAGTTTCAGTAACCCACAAAGCATTTCCCGAAGACCCAAAACACTGAAGCTTTATCAATTATGAGATCTGTCAGATCTAAAATATTCATGAACACTGCAGTTTGACAGTGTGGTGAGTGATTACATATCCAAGAAGGTACTACAGCAGCTGCTCTGCCAAGTCCTAAGGTCCTAAAAGTATTACTCACAATGCCATGGGAAGGTGATGTTCTTAGTCAACTAAGTGCCCATTTTGCTGTAAGGACACAAACACAGGGCAAGGTCACAGAAGAGGAAAGAAGGACGGCACAAACCTATTCCTTTAGCTGCACAGAAGGCAACAGAGGCTGTGAAAATGGGAAAAACACTCAAAGCCATGGCTGAAAATCTGTCAACCAAGAGGCTCAGAGTTATCTTGCTGGTGATCAGAGCAAGGAATTACCCATGAATATTGGATAGCATCTGCAATTGCCTTCCTTAAAGAACACCAGATTTCTAACCTGCTCCTGTACCAAAGCTTCTCTGATAAAAGTATGGGTTTGAGGGTGGAATTTATGTGTGGGTTTTTTTCTCATTTGGATTGGTTTTTTTTCAGGGCGAGGGGGACTATTTTGTTTGTTTTCAGCTCATTTAGTAGGTTTGGTGGAGATTTCTTTGTTGTTGTTTTGAGTCTTGGAAGACAGACCAATAGTCAGGAAGGAAAGTAAGGAGTCTTAGGGTCAGTCTAGATAACACTTCATAAAAAAATACTGAGAAAGCCCAATTATTTTGTGAGAAAACAGAAATTAAAGTGTGCTTGCAAATTGTCATCACAGCACACATTTCTGTGGGTATGAACAATGCCTAACATCCTATCACAGATTTAAATTTTCATCCTCTTTCCTATGTGAAAGGCAGCAGCAAAGATATCCCTTTAACTACAGAGATCATTCTTGGTGTATGGGTATGTTTTCATATATGCAAATAATAGATTTTTCACCTATGGAAAAGGACACATGTAGTACTCAATTTTTGCTTCATTAGTTTTTCCTTCTTTTCTCCTGTTCTCATATGAATCAGTTCCCAACTGCTTCCACTGAGTCAAAAGAAGACAGGCATATATGTTAATCATCTGACTACCAGAAAACTCAGTGAAATGTTTGGTTTTGGTTTTTCTTCCTTTATAAATGGTTTGAGAATCATTGAATCACTGATACCTGGGTTATCCTGTTCTGTGTCAAAGGGACAGAAAACTGTCTTTTCAACATGTGTGTTTACATGAGACATTGGCAAGACAGAGATGCTCTAATTCCTCTCCCTTCCCTTTTTGGTCTCAAGTCTTGGCCACTGCCTGATGAAAAACATATGAAAGAAGCAATGCAACAAGAAAAAAATTTTACATTCCAAGCATTAACATCACATATGCTGAGCACCAGACTCAATTATAGTTTTAAAATTCATTACAGATGTAGCTTAAACCAAATTGGTGCAAGATGTACAGTCAGATATGAATTTACACACAAGTGTTATGAAATAGCTGGCAGAGGACAGGCAATGTTGCTTGCATTTTGCCAGCCCAAATCTTCTCCCCTTTCTCTCCACCCCTCTCTCCCTTTAGGAGTTTTGGCAGCTGTGTCTCAATCTCTTCAAATTAATCTTCTAATTGGGTGTTTCCATGGAAACAGACTAGAAGACCCAGTACCTCTCCATTAAAGAACTATAAAAACAAGAGGTGTACCATGAAAAAACAAAAAGGATGAAGAAGAAGAATATAGTGGAAAAAGTTCTTGCCACTAAGGAACTGTACAGCCTTTAAACAGTTTAACAGCACAAGGCAAACCAGGACCACACTGATGCTGCCAAGTTACTACACAACCAGCCGTGACTGTGCGAGGATGGCTTTTGACTGGAACATCAAGCACTGTGCTGTTTTTCACACAAAATCTCTCCAGGCCTCAAGTGCCTGTGCCAGTGGCCTGATATAGTCTGTGTCTGATCATATTTCTCTACAACCCAAGATAAAATTCTCTTGCAATTCCATCCTTTGCAAACACATACTTTGACAGTCAGTGCATTTAGCGTGATCTCAGAAGGGAGATTTCCTAACTCAGTAGAGCATTCCAAGGGGAAAAGCAGAGAATGCCAGTGCACCTAGACTGTGAACCATTCCTCAGTAAGGTTGCATAGATTAGTCTTTGACTGGTATATTTTGTATATTCACGTGGGTTTCATAAATTTTTGTGAAAGCTTACCAAATTCAGTCCCCAACCAGAACTGGCTGAGTATGCTCTGCTGATGACCACCAAGCAGCTGCAGCACCACACCAAGAAAACAGGAGGTGCTGATACTCAACAAGGCAGTAAAAGATGGAGCAGGTGTACTCCACCCTATGCTTGCCTTCTGCAGGGCCAAGACCTGGCATTGTTCAACATCTTAAGGAATGCAGTGAGTTGACCCTGGCTGTGTGCCAGGTGCTCACTAAAGCCCTCTATCACTTGTCCTTAACAGGGCAAGGGAGAGAAAATCTAATCAAATGCTCATGGGTTGAGATAAGGGCAGGGAGAAGAGCTCACTCACCAACTACTGTCATGGGCAAAACAGACTTAATTTGCAGAAACTACCTTAAATAATTACCAATCAGAGTAGGATAATGCGGAATGAAACCAAATCTTAAAAAACACCTTCCCCCAAGCCCTCTTTTTCCTGGGCTCAGCTTCACTCCTGATTTTTCTACCTCCAGATCTCCAGCAGCACAGGGGGATGGGCAATGGGGATTTCAGTAATTTCATCATCCGTTGTCTCTGTCATTGCTTTCTCCTCAGGGGGAGGATTCCTCACACTCCTCTGCTTCACTCTGGGCTCCCTTCCATGGGAAACATCCTCCACAAACTCTTGGAACACATTCTCCCTTTCCTTTACTGGTGTTTGCAGGGCTGTTTCTCTCACATCTTCTCATTCCTCTCTCCTGGCTGATGTTGTGCTGTAATTTGTTCCCCTTTGTAAATATGTTATCCCAGAGGTGCTTCCACTGCCACTGATGTGCTCAGCCTTGGTCAGTGGTGGGTCTGTTTTGAAGCTGGCTGGCACTGGCTCTGCTGGACATGGCAGAAGCTTCTGGTGGTTCTCAAAGAAGCTGCCCCAATAGCCACACAAACCCAGTACGGGGAGTAATCATTTCACAGAATTGAGATTTCATTTAGCACTATCCTGTCCTTGACACTGAAAAGAAAATTAAGTCTATTACAAAACCCTGCATCTCAGCAATTTCAGGTCACTGAGTCTGATCACCCAGCCCACCACTTTAGCCTATGATGAGTGGGGGAAATCAGCGACAGACTTTCCATCACTTCTGACGCTGAGTCTATTGTGAATCAGTTAAAAAGGCACTGCCCACTAGTGAAGGAATTTCACAGCAGCCTCAACTACAAAAGAAAGTACATTCAAGATTTAATTAATTTACAGTTAGTTGTTGCCTAACTTTTTCAAAAGTGCTGCTAGAAACAGAGGGCATCAGCAGCAGATGCTACTCAGCTGTGTGAGGCGTCAGAACCCTGTAACTGCACTGGAGTAACAAAGCAGAATTTGTCAATATATTTAGGGAGGGTTAATGTAGAATTACACTTGTATTCCAAGCAAGTTAATAATTTATGGTACTTTTTTTAAAAGGAACATATTCATTTCCAGCAATCAACAAAGATAATATGTAATAAATCCTTGACATTAACAAGTGGTGCTTATAAATCTGAAATCCAGTGATCGTTTGATGCTATGCTAGCAGCGAGGAGTGAAACAATGAAGTACTTTTGTTCAAGATCATGTTTCACGTTGGTTTTTGGTTGAAAATCTTGTTAGAAACCCACATTGAAGACTGCTGTACTTATCAGTCTACTGGTTTTTAAACAATATAGTAGTTAACCTAACCTGATCTCTCTGTTGCCAGGGCCTAAGAGCTGAAACAGAGGTGAGGGCAGACAACAATATGTCATGAAGGAAATAAAACATTAAAAAAGGTGGCCAGCTGCCAAGTGGCAAGTGCCTTGGCATGAGGAGCTTATTCTCCACCCCCACGCTACTCTACCTTTCCCAAATAATTCCCTTAAAGAGGACAGTGAAATTTGACAAGTTATCAGAGTTGATAAGCCACCCCATAATTACAGGGCTGTTCATGACAGTTTTCCTCTAAACTATAACCTACACCTCCTTCCACCCCCAAAAGGTTTCTCTAATACATTCAAAAATATAGCAACAGGGGTATTTGGTAGTTTTTCTGGGATCCCCCTACGTAGATGAACACCAGTTTGTCTCCCTGAAGGGACACTTATCCTTGTCTGCCTGAGACACAATATCATCGCAGTTGCTCTGGCAGCAGAAACAGCAGCAAACAGCATTCTCTAGATGCATCTGGCATGCAGAAATCCCACACCAGAGGTATGTGACCCTAGGAACGTGGGAAAGAACAACAATAATTTTTTTAATCTCCTTTTGGAGCACATATGATCATAAATACATGCATAAACATGAGGTATTTAAAGGAACACTAATCTGCCACCTCAGCCCTTCACCCGCTCTTGATTGGGGAGAGGCTTAATTATATGGCCTTTTGACAGAGGCCTGCATACTCACCAATCACGTTAGGAAAAAGATTCACCAAATTTAAAGACAGAGAGAACTTTTAAAATTCAGAAATATATCTTTTATTCCCAACTAAATACATTTATGTGTGACCAGACAAGTTCATCTTCTATAACAGTGCTCCAAAGAGTCCTTATTTTCATCAGTTTCTTGATCACTCGTCCTAATTTCCCCAGTGTACTGAGAACTCAAGTTCCTAACATCTGGAGTTCTTGTCTTCACACTGCAAGCTATTTGGAAAGAAAAAAGCAGAAAACAAAACCGCATATAAGACATCTAATTATTCATATTTTTAAGTAAGTATATTATTCCTCTATGTCTGATAATATTCTCCAACACTCAGGAAAATCAGTGGCAAAAAAAGAAGCATGTATCAAGGAAAAATTTTCTGTTTCTCATTAACATGAGGAAAAACACCTGGAATTTCAATAGAATTAAGAAAAATACCCATTTCCTTTAAACGGATATGAAAAAAACATGGTTTTCTTTTCATGAAGAGGAGACTCATGCAGACTGATTCCTTACTTGAACTGACTTTTAATAGCCTGTAAGCTTGCTGCTGAGCAGGGCAACATGATTTCATGAAGTTTTTGCAGCCTCACAAAGATGAGAGAAACAACAGGAGCTCACAATGCTCAGAGCACACATAAAGTGAAGCCTTCCAGGACTCCCACTCAGGCAGAGGGCCAAAGTCATACCTAGATACAACACTGAGTAGGCTACTGATTTACTACAGAGTCAACTGGGTTCAACATCTAGAAAAATGAATGTTTGCATGCACGTTCCAGAATATATGAGCTATTTCCAATGTAGAAAACAGTTCCCATATTACCCAAGTCTCATTTACACACAACAGAAGTAATTTTTGCTGCCCCTATGCTGGACAGCTGCAGTATATCATTGCCATTTTCCGTTCAAGCCTAGACAGAAAGCAGAAATACTTATGGTGCGCACTCTGTTGCAATTATTTTAAAAGGAGAGAAAAGAAAATTACCTACATAATAAATTAATGCTGCATGTTACTCAGCAGCACACTGAAACAAAGGAGAGGAAGTTGAAGAATCATGTTCCTTCCAACACTGCTGCAAAATGCTACCTGTCATAACACTCCCTCTATGTGCACCTTCTGCTGTTCCTGCCCAGAACAATATGGGACAGTTGTCCATAATTCCATAATTTTGAAGGAGATCTATAGCTACATACAGACTGACCCTACTTCCCTGCTTGCATCATTTGCAGTTATGTACTTTACATTTTCTTGTGACATCTCTGCACATCTTCTCACTTCCTTGGAAAAAAATGAATGAAGGAAACAAGCAACAGAAAGGAGAAAGTTCCATTTGTCCAGGTTACTTCTCATTAAGCCAACATAGGCAACCCCCTTGGACAATGACAAATCTGGAATAGGATTTGAGACTACTTGGTGCATCTTCAAAATATTCCCAAACAAGTAATTATTTCTGGTCTATTGTTTAAGACACAGTTAATATTCTTAGACATCTTGCAACAGGTGAGATGTTTTTAGCAAATATTTAATAAACAAGTTAACAGAGAAATTAAATGAATACATGCAAATTTTAAACACTGAACTTTACTGTGTATTGAAGGTTGTTTGATTCATCAGGTCTAGCAAATCATCAGGACTGCTTTTAAACTGCCACAAAGTTTGACAGCCCTGCCTTGCTAAGTGCCAGAAGTAATTTGCTTAACAACTCTTGTGCACTGAGTTGTATTATGTTTATACAAAAGAGGTGAAGAGTACTGGATGTGCTACACAGCATGTTTATTTGTTCCTAAAATGCATTGCTGACATACTGTGTTCATTCCAAGCCCTGTATAATTATCATTCAGAACAGTGTGATAATTCAGCCTGGCTAAGATTAGAAGAATTTGGGCTTACAGTAAGGTGTTGCTATTGCTTAGGCAGTGCAAATGAAGAGAAGTAAATACCATGTATTACTGACTGAGATTTCAGGTCAGATATGTACCATTGCATTTCTCTTACACCAACAGATATAATTACCAATAAAAAACTTTTAAGTAAGCTTTTTTTAATCATATAAAATTGCAGCTAAGGTGGTATTAAAAATAATAAAAATTAAAAATAATAAAAATTAAAAATAATAAAAATTGTTCCATGGGTTTACAATGCCTGGACATATTGTGGACACATCAAACCAGAGTAACTTCCGTGGACCATTTTTCCATCACTACAAATGCAGGCATATTCCCACCAAGATATGGCAACCTACACTCCTCAAATCACACACCTGAGCAATCCTGGATACATGCAAGTAAAATCTACCCACAGTTCTACTCGGCATTTAGTATTTCCCTCTGGATAAAAAAAATCCTTTCCTCTCCTAAACCGTACAGGAATTGTTTTTCATATTTTGATTATCTCAGAAGTAGAATGGTAAAAACCAAGATATTGGTGAAGAAGTAAACAAAACCCATTGTTACCTGCAGGATTTCTATCAATTTTTTTGCTTTTTGTTATTTCCTTTCATTGCTGGCCTTTTGATTCCTTTTTTTCTGGACAGTCCATGACAGTTTAAGGCATACACTTATCCCACTCTTCTATTAATCTAAAAATACAAATTAGTACTTCACCCCAGTGGGAAGAATAGAGAACAAAACAAAAACACCTGTACATAAGCAGGAGAATCTACCATTTAAAAATTAACTCCCAGTTTCATATACATTTTCCTTGTTGGCTAGTGGCAAAACTCACCCACAAGAATAGGTGAACAGTTGAGTAGTTGTTTTATCTTGGGCTCCTGTAGGCATGACCACTGGTGCTGTCAATGCTACAAAGTTTACTCAGCATAGGGTTGTTTGGTGGCATTTAATAATTATTTACTTTACAGAAAGAAAACAAAGCTTATCACCAGGGGACAAAAACTGAAACCTTAGGCCACAAACAATCACTGAACTCTTCTAGTTTATCCTAAATCACAACAAAATTGCTTAGATTTCACTAAGATTTTTACAGAAGGGATTTGTTCTGTAGGCAGAATGGGCATTGAGGTTGGACGGGGCTTAACCAGCAGCATTCCCAGAGGAAAGGTTGTGAGAACAGTTGCAGCTGCATTTGTGTCCAAAGCTAAACATCAAGCTTGAAGCTCATATAAATAATTGATGGAAATGGGTGGAGGAATTTCCTATTAGAGAATTTTACAGAGAACCAGAGTATTTTCTTAAAACAAAAGCCTGCAATTATTGTGTGTGTGTGTAGAACAGTGTCATTCAATCCTCTAAGCAACTTTGAATGACTCAGCCTCATACTTTATGCAACAAGTTGTTGCCAAACATCTGAAAGAGCTACATGCTTTCCAAGAGAAAGAAAAACGGCTGGTCAGGGTGGGGATGAACAGATCCCTTCATTTCCCCAGAAGGAACTGAAGAAAAACATCAAGCACATGGTGCCTTATAAAATTCAATTTCATATTTTTCTAGTAAGGAAGGTGTCCATTCATCTGACATAACAGCAAATATAAACCAGCACCTGCCACCCTTTAAGTGATTCCTCTAAGCCTTTCATAGACAGAAGTGTCTTTTGTTCACTCTTTATAAAAAAAAAAACCCACTTATTTTTGCAATGTCACTAAAAATGTCATAATATTTTGGAAGCTGGTTGGCTCTGACTGATGGCATCACACAGTTTAATTGCTGAATCTTTACTTATGTGGAGCATATTGATTTCTCATCCTAAAGCAGCTACAGAATTTAAGATTAAAACTCTCAAGGGTTAATACTAAGGTCAATACTGTTCAACATCTTCATCAAGGACTTGGGTGATGGGAGTGAGTCTGCCTTGTGGTAGTGCTGGTCAAGGCCTAACTTTAGCCAAGTTTGGAAGAACTGAGCATCTGTACTTGGTATGTAAATATGACTATAATTCAGCCACCTTTCTCCAAAAATCCTGGACACCCTATGGCCAACTGAGCTTGAAACTCATGCCGAGTCTATGATAAGACTCTGCTGAAAACTCCAGTGAATCTGCACCTGGTCACAAAGCTCTCTGGCAGTACAGATGACTGGAAAAGTGATAGTCCATCTACACTATGGCCAACAAGTTCCTACAGGCACCTGATGAAAAGTGGGATGAGCCAACCTGGAAGGAGAGCACTCAGCTTGAAAAGGCACAAACGACACAGTGAGAGAACTACTTAAAGGCACTAAATGGAGCAGGAGGGCTGGCTCTGTTTCACAAGTGCTTAAACTCAGGAAGTTATCCCACATGAGGAGTGCCCTGGAGGGAAGGAAGTCTCTAAGAAAGGACCACAGATTTCCTTGAAAGATGACATCTAGGCATCTGCTTGGAATACAGAAGGGTGCTGTTAAGAAATAAGAAAACATCATAGGGGAAAACACTGGTCTAGAAGCACAGGAATAAGACTGAAGTTGGCCAAAATCAAGTATAACTAGACATTGAAGGGTTAAAGCATCTAGTAAGAAGTTCTTCAGGTATATTAAAAAATTTTAAAAGGGAAAAAATAATATCACGAGTAAGTAGTAGAGGCATTATCCAGAAATAAAGGTAGATGAAGATAATTTGGGAGTGACAGAGTATTGCTGAAGAACAAATAGGCATTTTGGCCTAGAATACAACTAGGCTTCGACTGAGAGAAATATTCTTCATCCTTAGAGAAATAAATCTTCGAAATAATTTCTCACAGAAATTGGGGAGCGGGGTGGGGGGAAGAGACGGGACATACAAAGTGCTTACAAAAGGGCTCATAGCAAGTTAATTAAAAGGATTGCATGAGGCAGTTGCTCCCAGAGCAGAGCAGCTGGTCCCAGTATCCTGAGACATCCCTTCAATTCTTTTGTTGTCCTTTAGAAAAAGCCAGTAAAATCCTTGGCCACCTTTATTACAAGAGTCAGTATAACATTCACACACTGTAATAATTTTCAAACTTTTTTTAACCTTTTAAGTGTCATTTCATCACTAAATGGAAAAAAAAAATCCAGCTGAAGAAATAAACTAAAGAACAAAACCTTACAGCACTGTTCTACAAAGCCTTTTCTCTTCCAAATGTAGTTAATCCACCTACAAAAATGGGCAGAACTGAATGGGAATATGTCAAGGTTCTAAAATCCCACATTACTATACAAGTGAAAAGACACTGAAAGCATTTCCTCCATCCCTAATGACTTTGGTCCCAGTTCTGAGATGTGATCAGAGCACAGTTTGTTGAAGTGTATCAATGCTAACTCAGTTCTA